AGGGATTACAGGCATGAGACACCGCGCCCAGCCTGACATTTGAGCTTTTAGCTCTCAGCTGATGCAGGAGTGATTTCAGACTAACTTCAGCATCATCAGACCTGACAATCGTAGGTCATCATTGTCACTATAGCCATTGATGTCATTATTTAAATATTTCATTAAATTAGCAAGTACAGGCCAGGCACAGAGGCTCACGTCTGTAATCCCAGCACTTTGGGAGGCTGAGGCGGGCAGATCACGAGGTCAGGAGTTCGATCCCAGCCTGACCAACATGGTGAAACCCTGCCTCTACTAAAAATACAAAAATTGTCCAGGCGTGGTGGCGTGTGCCTGTAGTCCCAGCTACCCAGGAGGCTGAGGGAGGAGAACTGCTGGAACCCAGGAGGCAGAGGATGCACTGAGCTGAGATTGTGCCACTGTACTCCAGCCTGGGTGACAGAGCAAGACTCCATATCAAAAAAAAAAAAAAAGAAAGAAAGAAAATACACAAATGAGAGTTCTGATCAGTGATAAGAAACGTTTCATAAGCTTAGCACAGTTAACACATAACAAGAATGATTAGCTGGGCTAAAATTGGTGAATCTTTCACTTTAGTGAAATGTTTCTCAAAGTGGAACTAGTCAATTGTGTGACCAAGTCCAAAGCTCACACTGCGTACTGCACAGCAGCCAATAAGTAAAGAAACAAGCTGTAGGGCAAGGAAGATGACTTTGCTCTGGAGAGCCAGCAAACTGACAAGATGCCAGGCTAGTGTCCTGGGGGGGTGGATCACCTGAGGTCAGGAGTTCGAGACCAGCCTGACCAACATGGTGAAACCGCGTCTCTACTAAAAATACAAAAATTAGCTGGGCATGAGGGCAGACGCCTGTAATCCCAGCTACTCAGGAGGCTGAGACAGGAGAATCGCTTGAACCTGGGAGGTGGAGGTTGCAGTGAGTGGAGATTGTGCCACTGCATTCCAGCCTGGCAACAGAGTGAGACTTCGTCTCAAAAAAAAACAAAAAACAAAAAAACCATCTTGGCCGGGAGTAGTGGTTCATGCCTGTAATCTCAGCACTTTGGGAGGCTGAAGCAGCCGTGTCGCCTAAGGTCAGGAGTTCAAGACCAGCCTGGCCAACATGGTGAAACCCCACGTCTACTAAAAACACAAAAATTAGCCAAGTGTAATGGTGCACACCTGTAATCCCAGCTACTCAGGAGGCTGAGGCAGGAGAATTGCTTTAACCCGGGAGGCAGAGGACGTAGTGAGCCAAGATCGTGCTACTGCACTCCTGCCTTGGTGACAGAGGGAGACTCTATCTGAAAAAAAAAATAAAATTAAAAAAACTACAGGAAAAAAGTACAGATCACACATGTTCCTGTGACTTGTGTTTTTTCCCAGGCAAAAAAAGAAAAAAAAAAAACTAAAAAGAAAAATAAATAAAAGGTGTTTAAAAAATACAGTTAAACTATAAACTAAATTCTTCCCGTAGTTCGCTTGGCCTATGTGCAGAGAAAAGCAAAAGATACCACTGTAGGGAGGTTAGGATGGAGTTAGTCACACTAGCCTCCTTTTTCATTATTATAGTTGTGTGTTTACAGCAAAAATAAATCAACATATATAGGACAATGAGGACCCTGTAATCTCTGGGAAAGTACATTCCTCTGGACAGGGTCTGAGATGACACGTGGCCTGCTCCTGTGGCCCTAAGAAGCAAAACGAAGCCAGTCAACGTTGCTAACAGTCCATGAGGCACCCTGTTCTTGGCCATTCCTATGTTACCCTGACAACTCTGAGAAGGTCCTGGCCACTAAACTTTAGCAACATTGTAAAGGTTTTCAATATGTTCCAGGCTTTCTAAATCAAGGCTAAATTACTTTGTAATTTCAGTATCTCTACCACTATGTATGTCTAACTGATGATAATGATGATAGATAGGTAGATAGATAAAGATGGTATATAGATAAATAGATGATAATAGCTCTATATAGATACATGGATAAATAGACGGATGATAGGTATACAGACAGATGGATAGATAGATGGTAGATAAATAGATAATAGCTATATAGATAGATGGATGATAGATGGATAAATGATAGGTATATAGATAAATGGACAGATAATAGGTAGGTAGGTAGATAGATAATAGATAGATGAGGCCGGGTGTGGTGGCTCACACCTGTAATCCAAGCACTTTGGACGCCAAGGTGAGTGGATCACCTGAGGTCAGGAGTTCAAGATCGGCCTGACCGACATGGTAAAACCCTGTCTTTAAAAAAAATAAATAAAAATAAAAAAGATAATAGATAGATGATAGATGTATAGATAGATGGATAAATAGATAATAGGTAGATAGATGATAGACAATAGGTATATAGATAGATGGATAGATAGAAAATAGATAAGTAGATGATAGATAATACGTATGGGGATAGATAGATGATCAATGATTTACAGATGATAGAAGCATGGATGATAGGTATATAAATAGATGGATAGATAGATGATGGATGGATGATAGGTATATCGATAGATAGATAAATAGTAATAGATGGCTAGATAGATGATATATAAATAATATATAGATGAATGGATAGATGATAGATGGATAATAGGTAAATAGATGATTGACAGATGATAGACGGATGAATGATAGGTATACAGATAGATGGATAGATGATGGATGTATGATAGGTAGATGATAGATACACAGATAACAGGTATATAGATAGATGGATAGATAGATATTTTATGTGGCTTTTGAAGCCCTCTAATCTGGATTGGATCCTCTGGAAAAAAAAGCATCCAGACCTCAAGAACTAAGGACAGGAACTCTAGAATTTCTGAACTGATGAGTTAAAATAGCTTAGGAATGTGCTCTTTGTTGGGGAATTGCCACACGAGGACACGTTTTAATCATTAATGCTGATGCAGGCCAGATTGCTTTCCAAGAAACCCTGCCCTGTCACTTTTTCCAGCCATTCTTGTCTGAGGAGGCAGAGGAATTGAGCAAGCCTGGACGGCAAGTTGTGCTTGGGTTGGTGGCCAGAGTTTGAGCAGGGGTGTGTGCAGGACAGGGTGTGATGCTGGAAAGAGCAGTTCCTTGGGTCCTCTAAGCACCAGGGGAATGCCACACTGGCCACTTCCAGAGGGACCACACTCCTCCAGGCCTGGAGGCCATGGGGAAGAACCCAGGGCCCAAATACGACCCCTTTTCTCTTGCGCTTCTGAAATACAGGCAAGGGTCACCTTTTCTTTTTCCTTTTTTTTTTTTTTTTTTTTTATCAGACAGGGTCTTGCTTTGTCACCGAGGCTGGAGTGCAGAGGCACGATCACAGCTCCCTGCAGCCTCAAACTCCTGGGCCTCCCAAGTGGTTGGGACTACAAGTGTGTGCGAACATGCCCAGCCTTTTTTTTTTTTTTTTTTTTTGGTAGAGACAGGGGTTTCACTATGTTGCTCAGGCTGATCTCAAACTCCTGGCCTCAAGCAATCCTACAACCTTGGTCTCCCAAAGCACTGTGACTACAGGCATGAGCCACCACGCCTAGCCAAGGCTCACTTCTTAGCCAACATTATATCTCAAGAGGTTTTTCAATTTAAAAAATTAACTTTCCGAGCCACTGCACCAGAGAAAATTCAAAAAAAGAAAAAATTAACTTTGTATGAGGCAGCTAAGTACCCTGTCCTGCCTGATCAGGGAATCTTAACGGGAAGCTTAACCTGGAGAGACATTTCAAAATTCAAAGATGACAGACCCCCTTCTCTGAACCCCTCAAATCAGATCTGAGACCTAGACTCAGGTTGGTTGAGGAAAGTCCACGGAGATTCTAACGCAAGGCTTGACTTAAGAGCCAGTACAAGAGAACAGGGCGAGATGCCAGGCCACAATCTTGATTTCTTTTTCTTTTCCTGTTAAAAATGTCAGTTTCACTGGAATCACCAAAATACATTATGAGCTGCATTCCAGAAAATGTGCTAGGCCAGCACTTCTCACTTTTAAGCATACAAATCATATCTTGTTAAAATGCAGATTCCAGCCAGGCGCAGTGGCTCACACCTGCAATCCCAGGACTCTGGGAGGCAGGTGGATCACTTGGGTTCAGGAGTTCAAGACCAGCCTTCCAACACAGTGAAACCCCACCTTTACTAATCATACAAAAACTAGCCAGGCAAAGATGCATGCATGTAATCCCAGCTACTTGGCAGGCTGGCAGGCTCACTTGAACCTGGGAGGTGGAGGTTGCAGTGAGCCGAGGTCGTGCAGAGTGACAGGGCAATAGAGCGAGACTCCATCCAAAAAATAAAATAAAATATGGCCGGGCGAGGTGGCTCACACCTGTAATCCTAGCACTTTGTGAGGCCGAGGTGGGTGGATCACCTGAGGTCAGGAGTTCAAGACCAGCCTGGCCATCATGGTGAAACCCCATCTTATTTAAAAAAAAAATTTTTTTTAAATTTTAAAATAAATAAATAAATATAACATAATATACTAAAATGCAGATTCTGATTCAGCAGGGCTTGGCTGGGCCCTGACACTTTACCTTTCCAACAAGTTCTCAGATGATGATTGTGCTGTTGGACTATGGTCCATACGTTTTTTTTTTTTTTTTTTTTGGGGAAAGAGTCTAGCTCAATCGCCCAGGCAGGGGTGCAATGTTGCGATCTCAGCTCACTGTAACCTCCGCCTCCCCGGCTCAAGCAATTCTCCTGCCTCAGCCTCCTGTGTAGCTGGGATTACAGGCGTATGCCACCACGCCCTGCTAATTTTTGTATTTTTAATAGAGATGGGGTTTCACCATGTTGGTCAGGCTGGTCTTGAACTCCAGACCTCATGATCCACCCACCTCGGCCTCCCAAAGTGGAGCCACTGTGCCCGGCCTCATGTCAATCTTTACTCTGTCTGAGAAACCTCTCATTTCTTCTTCCTCCCCACCAGACTTTCCAGGGCTTGTTGAAGCACTCCCGGCTCAACAGGTGATCTCATATGCATTTCCTAACAAATCTCTTGCACACTAATCTCTAACTCAGGTTTGGCTTCCCAGGAAATCCAACCCATAGCAAAGTAAATCCTAGAGCTGCTTTTGGACAATGTTCTCAGGGAAAGCATTGACTCATCCTTCTATTCACCATACCCCCCACCAAGTTATACTTCTGACCAGTGTCCCCCACGACACAGCCGTAGCCAGGTACAGTTTGGCGACAACATCTAAAAACAATCAGAATTGAGTTTCTCACCAGCCCAAATGCTTGAGTGCTCAGAATCTAAATTAAATTGATTTAAGGTCCATGAACATACTTGAGGCCGGGTGTGATGGCTCACACCTGTAATCCCAGCACTTTGGGAGGCAACGGGCAGATCACTTGAGGTCAGGAGTTCAAGACCAGCCTGGCCAACATGGTGAAACCCTGTCTCTACTAAAAATACAAAAGTTAGTCAGGCTTGGTGGTGGGTGCCTGTAATCCCAGCCACTGGGGAGGCTGAGGCAGGAGAATCGATTGAACCTGGGAGGTGGAGGCTGTAGTGAGCCGAGATTGCGCCACTGCACTCCAGCCTGGGCGACAGAGTGAGACTGTCTCAAAAATTAAAACAAAACAAAACAAAAATACAATTAGCTGGGTGTGTGATGGCAGGCACCTCTAATCCCAGCTACTGAGGAAGCTGAGGCAGGAGAATGGTTTGAACCTGGGAGGCACAAGTTGCAGTGAGCCGAGATTGTGCACTGGCCTGCAGCCTGGTCAATAGAGGGAGACTGCATCTCAAATAAACAAACATACTTAAGGTAGACTCTTGCAGTGAAGGCCTCCTATGCTCACGGCTCCTGTATTCCACCTTTGTGTAATACCCTCCCCTGTGGGCTCTGGGCTTGCTCATCTTGTCTTGCTTTGGTCAATGGGATCCTAACAATTGTGAAGCCTGGAGACACTTGAAAAGGGCTTGTACCTTGGGGCGCGTTCTCTTGCCATTCTTTGGAGCTGCAAAACTGCCATGAGAAGAAGCCTGGGTCAGCCCTTTTTGGAGATGAGAGACCACCTAGAAGAGAGATGAAGTGTCCCAGCTGAGGCCCCCTTAGACCCATCAGCCTGCCATCTACCAGATGTGAGTGAGACGGTCCCTGGCTATTTAGAGCCAGCCACAAAACATTTAGACTCATAAAGCAAGGGAAATCACAAATGTTTATTGTCTCAAGTCACTTGATTTGGAGTGGTTTATTTTATTTTCACTTCTATAAAACTCTGTGACCTATTTTCTGCGCTTGGTTTTCTTTTTCTTTTTTTTTATTGTTTTGAGACGGAGTCTTGCTGTCGGCCAGGCTGGAGCACAGTAGCATGATCTCGGCTCACTGCAACCTCTGCCTCCCAGGTTCAAGCGATTCTCCTGCCTCAGATTCCTGAGTAGCTGGGACTACAGGTGTGTGCCACCACGCCTGGGTAATTTTTTTGTGTTTTTAGTATAGACGGGGTTTCACCATGTTGGCCAGGATGGTCTTGATCTCCTGACCTCGTGATCTGCCCACCTTGGCCTTCCAACGTGCTGAATTACAGGAATAAGCCAAGGTGCCTGGTCACTTTCTAATTTTAATTTTTATTTTTTTAGAGACAAGGTTCTTGCTATGTTATCCAAGCTGGTCTTGAACTCCTGGGCTCAAAAAATCCACTCACCTTGGCCACCAAAGTGCTGGGATTACAGGTGTGAGCCACCATGCCCTGTCATTATGTTTATAACTATGTTGTGGATATTTGTAATGTTTATGAGCTTTTTTTTTTTTTTAGATGGAGTCTCACTCTGTCACCCAGGCTGGAGTGCAGTGGTGCCATCTCGGCTCACTGCAATCTCTGCCTCCCAGGTTCAAGCAATTCTCTCTGCCTCAGCCTCCCAAGTAGCTGGGATTATAGGCGCCCACCACCACACCCAGCTAATTTTTGTATTTTTAGTACAGATGGGGTTTCGCCATGTTGGACAGGCTGGTCTCAAATTCCTGACCTCAAGTGATCTGCCTTCCTCAGCCTCCCAAACTGCTGGGACTACAGGCGTGAGCCACTGTGCCTGGCCTTGTGTGCTGACTATTTTAGAGAATCTTCTGCCTTATAAGTCTTGCCACTACACTATCCCCCAAGACAGAAGCCAGAAAGCATGATTCTTCAGCCTCCCTTGCAGCTAAGGAAGGGTCATGTGACCTAGGCTCCACTAATTCAACATACTCATGTGAAACTTTAGAAATAAACATGAGCCAGGCATGGTGGCCCTGGGAGGCATAGGTGGGAGGATCGCTCAAGCCTACAAGTTCAAGGCTGCAGTGAGCTATGATCACGTGACTGTACCCCAGCCTGGGCAGCACAGTAAGACCCTGTCTCTAAAATAAATAAATAAAGGCGGGCTGGCACAGTGGCTCACGCCTGTAATCCCAACACTTTGGGAGGCTGATGCGGGTGGATCACAAGATCAGGAGTTCAAAACCAGCCTGGCCAAGATGGTGAAACCCTGTCTCTCTTTTTTTTTTTTTAAAGATGGGCGTTCTCCATGATGGCCAGGCTGGTCTTGAACTCCTGACCTCAGGTGATCCACCCACCTCGGCCTCCCAAAGTGCTAGGATTACAGGCATGAGCCACCACGCCCAGCCAGAAACCCTGTCTCTACTAAAAATACAAAAATTAGCTGGGCATGGTGGCGGGTGCCTGTAATCCCAGCTACTTGGAAGGCTGAGGCAGAGAATTGCTGAACCTGGGAGGCAGAGGTTGCAGTGAACTGAATTTGCTCCAGTGTACTCCAGCCTGGGTGACAACGAAAAAAAATAAACAACAAAAAAAAAAAAAAAGAGGCGCTGGGTGTAGTGGCTCATGCCTATAATCCTAGCACTTTGGGAGGCCAAGGTGGGTAGATCACCTGAGGTCGGAAGTTCAAGACCAGCCTGACCAACATGGAGAAACCTCATCTCTACTAAAAATACAAATTAGCTGGGCATGGTAGTGCATGCCTGTAATCCCAGCTACTCAGGAGGCTGAGGCAGGAGAATCGCTTGAACCTGAAGGCAGAGGTTGCAGTGAGCCGAGATCCCGCCACTGTACTCCAGCCTGGGCAACAAGAGCGAAAGTCCATTCAAAAAAAAGAAAGGTAGGGGGTGCTGGTCAAGATGGCTCATGCCTGTAATCTCAGCACTTTGGGAGGCCGAGGCGGGTGGATCACAAGGTCAGGAGTTTGAGACCAGCCTGACCAACATGGTGAAACCCCGCCTCTACTAAAAAATAGCCAGGGATGGTGGCACGTGCCTGTAATCCCAGCTACTCAGGAGGCTGAAGCGGGAAAATCACTTGAACCCGAGAGGCAGAGGTTGCAGTGAGCCAAGATCGTACTACTGCACTCCATAAAAAAATAAATAAATAAACAACAGGAGAAAGCAGGCTCTGTGTGGAGTCTGACTGCTGGTGAGGATGAGGTTGACTTCCAGATACACTTGTGGCATTGCTGCCAGTAACAGCAGTAGATGCAGTGGTTTGTGTCCCTGGCATCAGTGCACGTGGGCTCAGTGCCCTACACTGGGGAGACTGGTTCCCTCCTCATTCCAGTTCTGCAATGTGGTTTGGGCACTGTTCCTAGGAGTCCAGCATCCAAGTGGTTCTGAGAATTTCCAGTGCTGGGTAATAAATGCCTTTTCGGCTGGCCACAGTGGCTCATGCCTGTAATGAGCACTTTGGGAAGCTGAGGTAGGAGAAGCTCTAAAGCCAGAAGTTTGAGACCAGCCTGGGCAACATAGTGAGACCCTCTTTCTACAAAACACAGAAAAGAATAGGTGGGCGTGGTGGTGTGCGCTTACAGTCACAGCTACTCTGGAGGCTGAAGCAGCAGGATGGCTTCAGTCCGGGAGTCTGAGGTTGCCATGGGCTATGATGGCACCACTGCATTCTAGCCTAGGTAGCAGAGTGAGACCCTGTCTCAAATAAATAAATAGGCCAGACGCAGTGGATCATGCCTGTAATCCCAGCACTTTGGGAGGCCAAGGTGAGCAGATCGCCTGAGCTAAGGAGTTTGAGACCACCCTGGGCAACATGGTGAAACCCCGTCTCTACTAAAATACACAAAATTAGCCGGGCGGGTGGCAGGCATCTGTGATCCCAGCTACTTGGGAGGCTGAGGCACGAGAATTGCTTGACCCCAGGAGGCAGAGGTTGTGGTGAGCCGAGATCACACCACTGCACTCCAGCTTGGGCTACAGAGTGAGACTCCATCTCAAATAAATGAATAAATAAATATTTTTTGAAAAGTGCCTTTTCTGTGCTAACTAGATAGACTCTGTGCTGATGTTTGTAACTGAAAAACTTAACTGATACACAAGGCAAAACTAAGGGAAGAAAGGTATAATCCAGAATCAATTGTAGGTATTACCTAGACTGACTTTAGGCCAGGTGCGGTGGCTCACACCTGTAATTCCAGCACTTGGGGAGGCCAAAACAGGCAGATCGCATGAACCCAGGAGTTTGTGACCAGCCTGGGCAACATGATGAGACCCCATCTCTACAAAAAATACAAAAATTAGCTGGGTGTGGTGGCAAACGCCTTAGTCCCAGCTACTCAGAAGCCTGAAGAGAAAGGATTATTTGAGCCCAGGAAGCAGAGGTTGCAGTGAGCTGTGATTGCACTACTGCACTTCCGCCTGGGCAAGAGTAAGACCCTATCTCAAAAAAGTGAAATAAAATGAAGTGTAGTCCACAGGGGCCAGCAGCACCTGGGCGCTTGTTAGAAACACATAATGTCCGTCTCACTCCAGTCCTGCTGAATCCACATTCACATTTTAACGGGGTCTCCAGGGAATCTGTAAACACAGATCAAGAGGCAGTGACTGCACTGACTGCCAGCCCCGGCTGCACTTTGAAACCATTTGGGGACCATTTAAGAATATATTGATGTCCATTTACATCCTCCAGGCCATCAGCTGATTCAGGTAAGAATCATCAGTGGAGGCTAAAACCACAGGGCAAAAGGGTGTGGGAGAGCAGATTGTTCCTAAACCTCCAAGCATTTCCCCATAGACCACTTATGGATTACAAAGGGGAGGGGGGAGTTCCCTGGATAGCAGATAAGTCTGGCAGACACCACATAAATAAGTGACAAGCTTATTAGCACCAATAATGGGACAAAGTGACAACAGGAACTTGACACTGCGAAACCAGGAGAGGATCACGCCATCATCCATGCAGAATTTCTGCCCAAGGCTAGGCATGGTGGTTCACGCCTCTAATCCCAGCACTTCGGGAGGCTGAGGCAGGACAATCATTTGAACCTGGGAGGGTTCTCACTCTACCACCTCGGCTGGCATGCAGTGACCCACTTTCTGTACTAAAAACACAAAAGTAGGCGAGCGTGGTGGTACGTGCCTGTAATCCCAGCTACTCAGGAGGCTGAGGCAGGAGAATCACTTGAATCTGGGAGGCGGAGGTTGCAGTGAAGCAAGATCACACCACTGCATCCCACCGGGGAAAAAGGGGGAACCCAAACCAAAAAAAAAAAAAAAAAAAAAAAGAATTTCTGCCCAAAATGATAAACTTGAATCTAGCAATGGCAGGGTAAAAAATAGACACATCCAAATTGAGAGACAGTCTGTAAAACAGATGCCTGGACTCAAAAAATGTCAGTTTCTTTTTTCTTTCTTTTTGATACGGAGTCTTGCTCTGTCACCCAGGCTAGAGTGCAGTGGCACGATCTCAGCTCACTGCAATTTCTGCCTCCCAGGTTCAAGCAATTCTCCTGCCTCAGCCTCCTGAGTAGCTGGGATTACAGGCATAGGCCACCATGCCTGGCTAATTTTGTATATATGTATTTATTTATTTGAGACGGAGTCTTGCTCTGTTACCCAGGCTGGAGTCGCAGCTCACTGCAGCCTCCACCTCCTGGGCTCAAGTAATTCTCCTGTCTCAGCCTCCCGAGTAGCTGGGATTACAGGCACCACCACTGCGCCCAGCTAATTTTTTTTTTTTCCTCTGTAGCCAGGCGCCAGGCTGGAGTGCAGTGGTGCGATCTCAGCTCACTGCAATCTCCGCCTCCCAAGTTCAAACAATTCTTCTGCCTCAGCCTCCTGAGTTGCTGGGACTACAGGTGCGCACCACCACACCCAGCTAATTTTTGTATTTTAGTAGAGATGGGGTTTCACCATGTTGGCCAGGATGGTCTCGATCTCTTGACCTTGTGATCCGCCCGCCTTGGCCTCCCAAAGTGCTGGGATTACAGGCGTGTGCCACCGTGCCCAGCCTAATTTTTACATTTTTAGTAGAGACGGGAGTTTCACCATCTTGGCCAGGCTGGTCTTGAACTCCCAGCCTCAAGTGGTTCTCTTGCCTCAGCTGCCCAAAGTGCTGGAATTACAGTCAAGAGCCACTACTCCTGGATGAAAATTATTTTTTAAAAAGACTAAAGGCCGGGCGCGGTGGCTCAAGCCTGTAATCCCAGCACTTTGGGAGGCCGAGGCGGGTGAATCACGAGGTCAAGAGATCGAGACCATCCTGGTCAACACGGTGAAACCCTGTCTCTACTAAAAATAAAAAAAAAATAGAAAAAAAAAAAAAAGACTGGACAAGTGCTCTAGATTAAAGGCAACTGACTTGACAGTGAGACCCTGTCGCTACAAAAAATACAACAATTAGCTGGGCGTCTTGGTACACACCTGTAGTCCCAGCTACTTGGGAGGCTAAGGAGCAAGAATCACTTGAGCCTGGGAGGCAGAGGTTGCAGTGAGCTATGACTGCACCACTGCACTCCAGCCTGGGCAACAGAGTGAGACTCTGTCTCAAAAAAAGTAAAGAAGTGTAGTCTAGATTAAAGGCATCTGACTCAACATGACAACTGTATGCATTATGTGATCTTTACACAGTACATTAGGGATAAAGGCTCTGAAGGACATTTTCAGGACAATTTTGGAGAAATCTGAATAGTAGTTAATATAATTACATTAATGTTCAATGGTCTGGGTATGGTAACTGTGATGTGGTTTATGTAGAAGAACACACCTGCTCTTAAGAGTTACGTCTGTTCTCACATTGCTAATAAAGGCATACCCGAGACTGAGTAATTTACAAAGGAAAGAGATTTAATGGACTCACAGTTCCACATGGCTGGGGAGGCCTCACAATCATGACGGAAGGCAAAGGGGGAGCATAGGCACGTCTTACACAGTGGTAGGCAAGAGAGCATGTGCAGGGGACTCCTCTTTATAAAACCATCAGATCTCACGAGACTTATTCAATGGCAGGAGAATGGCTCTGGAAAAACCCACCCCCATGATTCAGCTACCTCCACCTGTGACTCAGTTACCTCCAGCAGTGATTCAGTTATCTCAATTTGTGATTCAATTATCTCCACCTGGCCCTGCCCTTGACATGTGGGGATTATTGCAATGCAAGATGAGATTTGGGTGGGGACACAGCCCAACCATATCATTGCTGAAGTATATAAGGACAAGTGTCATATCTATAATATACTTAAAATGGTTTAGGAAAAAAAAAGACCCAAAGAGAGAGAGAAAATAAAGGTGGCAATATGCCAAATGCTAATTTGGCTAATGAAGGATGTTTTCTGTGAAGAGCCATATTGTAAATTATTTAGGCTTTGCAGGCTATAAAGTCTCTGCTAAAACATTCCACTTTGCTGTTTTAGCATGAAAGCAGTTATAAACAATATTTAGACCGATTAGCATGGGCTGGGTGTGGTGAACCTGCCTGCAATCCCAGCACTTTGGCAGGCCAAGGCAGGAGGATTGCTTGATCCCAGGAGTTTGAGACTAACCTTGCCAACACAGCAAGACCCCATCACTACAAATTTGTGCACATCTGTAATTCCAGCTACTTGGGAGGCTGAGGTGAGAGGACTGCTGGATCCCAGGAGTTCAAGGCTGCAGTGAGCTGTACTGGCATCACTGCGCTCCAGCCTCAGCAACAGAGCGAGACCTTGTCTCAAAACAAACAAACAAAAAAGACTGTGTTTCAATAAAACTTGATTGATAAACAACGAAATTTGAATTTACCATTTTTATGTGTCGACATATTTTCTTCCGTTAATTCATGCTTCCATAAGCATGAATTTTATCTCACTAAGATTAGTGAACAGCCATTTCAAAACTTTGCTCTCTGAAAGTATATACACCAAAATGTTATCAGTGATGACTCCTTCAGGGTCAGGAGGGAGAAAATGAAGAGGAATTTTATGTGGTTTTTGTTTTTTTTGAGACAGCCTCACTCTGTCACCCAAGCTGGAGTGCATGTGGTGCAATCACAGCCCACCGCAGCCTCAACCTCCAGGGTTCAAGTGAACCTCCCAGCTCGGCCTCCCATGTAGCTGACACTACCGGCATGCATCACTAGGCCCTACCTTTCTAAAAATGATTTTTTGTAAAGATGGTGTCTCACTATGTTACTCAGGTTGGTCTCCAACTCCTGGGCTCAAGCGATCCTCTCGTCTCAGCCTCCCAAAGTGCCGGGATAACACGTATGAGCCGCCACACCCAGCCAGAACTTCATGTTTTACTCTATATACATCTGTATTGTTTAACTGTTCACAAGAATGCATGGGCTGGGCACTGTGGCTCATGCCTGTAATCCCAGCACTTTGGGAGGCCGAGGCAGGTGGATTGCTTTGAGCTCAGGAGTTCGAGACGAGCCTGGGCATCAGGGCAAAACTCTCTCTACAAAAAATACAAAAATTTAGCTGGGCGTGGTGGTGCAAGTCTGTGGTCCCAGGTACTCAGGAGGCTGAGGTGGGAGGATCACTTGAGCCTGGGAGTGGAGGCTGCAGTGAGTGGAGATTGCACCACTGCACTCCAGCCTGGGGAGTAGAGTGAGACCCCGCCCCCCAAAATAAATGAATGAAAGAATGGATGGATGAATGTTCACAAGAGAGCTCCGATTTGAGGAGGTGGGGTATTTTTTGTTTTGTTTTCATTAAGCTGCTTCTTAGATTAGTCAGCTTTTGCTGCAGTAACAAACAACCCAATATCCCAGGGGCTTATTTGTTCCTCATATTACATGAGGGCTGAGGATGGGCTGGACATGGGCCCAGGGCATTTTTTCTCTCACTCTGGGACTCAGGCAGAAAGAACAAACCTATCTAGAACCTACTGTCCTCATACCAGAAGGCAGAATCACTAGATACCAAGCCAAACCACGCAACTGCTTCTGCTAGATTTACTATAAACCATGCATTTCAAAGGTCAAAACAAGTGATGTAGCTGACCCTCACAATAGAAGGCAGAGTTAGGGTGGTTTGTGGAATCATTATAGAGGGGAGGGAATGAGCAAGTGTGAGGCAATGATATATTTTACTACATGTCTATTGAATTATTTTATTATTTATTGTATTTTACGTTTTGGGGTACATGTAAAGAACATGCAAGATTGTTGCATAGGTACACACATGGCAGAGTGATTTGCTGCCTTCCTCCCCATCACCTGTATCTGGCATTTCTCCCCATGCTATCTCTCCCCAACTCCCCACCGCACACTGTCCCTCCCCTAGTTCCCCCCAACAGACCCCAGTGTGTGATGCTCCCTTCCCTGTGTCCGTGTGTTCTCATTGTTCAACACCCACCTATGAGTGAGAACATGCGGTGTTTGATTTTCTGTTCTTGTGTCAGTTTGCTGAGAATGATGGTTTCCAGGTTCATCCATGTCCCTACAAAGGACACGAACTCATCGTTTTTGATGGCTGCATAGTATTCCATGGTGTATATGTGCCACATTTTCCCTGTCCAGTCTATCATCGATGGGCATGTGGCTTGGTTCCAGGTCTTTGCTATTGTAAACAGTGCTGCAATGAACATTCGTGTACATGTGTCCTTAGAGTAGAACGATTTATAATCCTTTGGATATATACCCAGTAATGGGATTGCTGGGTCAAATGGAATTTCTATTTCTAGGTCCTTGAGGAATCGCCACACTGTCTTCCACAATGGTTGAACTAATTTACACTCCCACCAACAGTGTAAAAGTGTTCCTGTTTCTCCACATCCTCTCCAGCATCTGTTGTCTCCAGATTTTCTAATGATTGAATTTTTTTTTTTTAATACGGAGTCTTGCTCTGTTGCCCAGGCTGGAGTGCAGTGGTGTGATCTCTGCTCACTGCAACCTCCACCTCCTGGGTTCAAGTGATTCTCCTGCCTCAGCCTCCCACGTAGCTGGGATTACAGGTTCAGGTCACCACACCCAACTAATTTTTTCATTTTTAGTAGAGATGGGGTTTCACCATGTTGACCAGGCTGGTCTTGAACTCCTGACTTCAGGTGATCCACCCACCTTGGCCTCTCAACATGCTGGGATTACAAGTGTAAGCCATGATGCCCAGCCAATTCTATTGAATTCAACTTTGAAGAATATTTTTTGGTTATTGCATAATTTTTTCCTGTTGACTTTTCTTTTCCTTCCTTCCTTTTTTTTTTTTTTTTTTTTTTCAGAAATAGGGTCTCTCTCTGTCAGCCAGGCTGGAGTGCAGGGGTGCCATCACAGCTCACTGCAGCCTCAAACTCCTGGGCTCAAGTGATCCTCCCACCTGAGCCTCTCAAGTAGCTGGGACTACAGGCATGCACCACCAGTGAGCTATGATTGCAGCACTGCACTCCATTTGGGCAACAGAGCAAAAGCTGCCTCTTTAAAAAAAATAACTAAGTGGCTCATGCCTGTAATCTCAGCACTTTGGGAGGCTGAGGCAGGCGGATCACCTGAAGTCAGGAGTTCAAGACCAGCCCGGCCAATATGATGAAACCCTGTCTCTACTAAAAACATAAAATTTAGCTGGGTGTGGTAGAGAGCTCCTATAATCTCAGCCACTCAAAAGGTTGGGAAAGGAGACTCTCTTGAACCCAGGACACGGAGGCTGCAGTGAGCTGAGATCACACCACTGCACTCCAGCCTGGGCAACAAAGCGAGACTCCATCTTGAAAAAATAAAAATAAATATATAAGATAAAGTATTTAAAGAAGAAACAAAGAGAGGACTGGGGCCTGACTGAGTGAGCCATCACAGCAAATGAGAAGCTGGGCCAGGTGACCCCAGCTGACAAGATGCAGAGGCTGAACCCCCAGGGAGCAGGAGTGGGTGTGGTCCTCAGGGCCTGCTGGAAATACCCGACTGCAGCTGGAGAGGTGAATGTCCACCACAAAGCCCGATCCTGCAGGATAACTGCAGGCAAGGCCTGTTCCCGGCCTCATGCCTCCCCAGCCCTGGGCCCACCTACCTATCACGGCCACCGTCAGACCTGGCGAGCAAGCCTCTGGCATCAGACATCTGCAAACCCACGCTCAGGCGCTGCTGCCCCGGTCCTGTGTGAGCCTGGCTCACTGGGGCTCGCTCCTGGCTCCAATTCTGACTGCAGTCCCCTCCTTCGACCTCGCCTGCACCAGTGACTTCCTCATCTCCCGGCATTCAGACCCTGGCTGTCCTCTGGCTTCCCTGGCTCAGCATACCCTGCCCTGGCCCTGATTCCTTGGTGTCCCTATGACTCAAAGCTCTGGCTCCCTGCCTGGGGACCTCACCCTGTCCATGTTCTGGTCCTCCCAAATAAAGTCCCACAAGTGGGAAGAATAGTAGTGTTTAACCCAGAACCTGCCAGGTTCCCGGGACCCTCAGCCCTTGCCCTGTGCAAGGACCACATGGGGCTTCTGGTTCTATGAACCCAGCCTCTGACCCAGCCGGGCCTGCAGGACACTGCAGACATGTAATTAATGACCCACGAGGCTTCAAACAGGGGTTCATTCGGAGTAGCTGGTACTCTAGGGGGAGTGGTGGGGAAATTGACTCGAGACTGCAAGTCACACCCAGCATGCCACAGCCCCCAGCCCTGGAGTGAACTTGCTCCATCCTCCTCCTTGGTCAGAGGTGTTTGGGAACCACAAGGAAGGAGCTTTAGAAACGGGCTTGCTCAGCCGGTCGTGGTGGGTCACACCTGTAATCCCAGCACTTTGGGAGGCCAAGGTGGGTGGATCACCTGAGGTCAGGAGTTCGAGACCAGCCTGACCAACATGGAGAAACCCTGTCTCCACTAAAAACACAAAATTGGCCAGGCATGGTGGCACATGTCTGTAATCCCAGCTAATCGGGAGGCTGAGGCAAGAGAATCACTTGAACCCGAGAGGCAGAAGTTGCACTCCAGCCTAGGCAGCAAGAGCGAAACTCCATCTCAAAAAAAAAAAAGAAAGAAAAGAAAAGAAAGAAAGAGGCTTGCTCAATAATAAAGTTGATACTTGGGCATTTCAAGTTTCCAGCAAATAATTGCTTCCCAAGCCCCAGCACGACATGATCTCTAGCTCTAGAGCAGACACAGCTAGGTCTGCCTCCATCTCTTTTTTTTTTTTTTTTTTTTTTTTTTTTGAGACAGTCTCACTCTGTTGCCGGGCTGGAGTGCAGTGGCATGATGTCGGCTCACTACAACCTCTACCTCCTGGGTTAAGGGATTCTCCTGCCTCAGCCTCCTGAGTATCTGGGACTACAGGCATGCACCACCATGCCTGGCCAATTTTTGGTAGAGATGGGGTTTCACCGTGTTGGCCAGGCTGGTCTTAAACTCCTGACCTCAGGTGATCCTCCCGCCTCAGCCTCCCAAAGTGCTGGGATTACAGGCGTGAGCTACTGTGCCTAGCTGTCTGCCTGCATCTCCACTGTTTGCTCCCTGGAGTGCCTGGGCAATTGTTTAACTCTGTACCTTCGGTTTCCTCCTCCGTGACGCAAGGATAAGGCACTGGCAGCCCCCAGTGCAGCACCTGGAATGTGGCTGGTGTTCAAAAATAGTAGCTATTGGTTGAAGCAAGAACCATCACTAGATGCTAACAGCAGTGAGTAAAAATGTGGTGAGAAAGAGAATATTTCTATCATCTCAATTATCTCCCCATAAATTTCTTATAATTAAAAAGGGGGGCTGGGCATGGTGGCTCACGACTGTAATCCTAGCACTTTAGGAGGCTGAGGTGGGAGGATCACTTGAGGGCAAGAGTTCAAGACCAGCCCAGGCAACATTGTGAGAACCCATCTCCACCAAAAATAAAAATTTAGCAGCTGGGCACGGTGGCACACACTTACAATCCCAGCACTTTAGGAGGCTGAGGCAGGTGGATCGTCTGAGGTCAGGAGTTCAAGACCAGCTTGACCAACATGGCGAAACCCTGTCTCTATTAAAAATACAAAAATTAGCCAGGCAGGGTGACCTGTGCCTGTAATTCCAGCCACTCGGGAGGCTGAGGCAGAAGAATCACTTTAACCTGGGAGGCGGAGGTTGCTGTGAGCCGAGATCAGCCATTGCACTCCAGTCTGGGCAACAAGAGCAAAACTCTGTTTTAAAAAAAAACACAAAATTTAGCTGGGCGTGGTGGCGCACACCTGTAGTCCCAGCTACCTGGGAGGGAGGATTGCTTGAGCCCAGGAAGTCGAGGCTGCAGTGAGCTAAGACGGTACCACTGTACTTCAGCCTGGGTGACAGAGGGAGACCCTGTCTCACAAAAATAAAAAAGGGGAGGGAGAACTAATCAAAGGACACGATCAGAAGAGTGAGAATTGGAAGTAGACATTTGCAATTCACATATATAAGGATTAATATCCAGAACACATTAAGAATTCCTGTGACTCTCTTTCCCATCTTGCAAGATGGCGGGTGAAAAAGTTGAGAAGTCGGATACTAAAGAGAAGAAACCTGAAGCCAAGAAGGCTGATGCTGGTGGCAGAGTGAAAAAGGGTAACCTCAAGGCTAAAAAGCCCGAGAAGGGGAAGCCCCATTGCAGCCGCAGTCCTGTTCTTGTCAGAGGAATTGGCAGGTATTTCCGATCTGCCATGTATTCCAGAAAGGCCGTGTACAAGAGGAAATACTCAGCGGCTAAATCCAAGATTGAAAAGAGAAAGGAGAAGGTTCTTGCAACTGTTACAAAACGTGGTGGTGACAAAAATGGCGGTACCCGGGTGGCTAAACTTCGCAAAATGCCTAGGTATTATCCTAGTGAAGATGTGCCTCGAGCTGTCAAGCCACAGCAAAAAAAAACCCTTCAGTCAGCACGTGAGAAAACTGCGAGCCAGCATCACTCCCAGGACCACTCTGATCATCCTCACTGGAGCCACAGGGGCAAGAGGGTGGTTTTCCTGAAGCAGCTGGCCAGTGGCTTGTTACTTGTGACTGAACCTCTGGTCCTCAATCGAGTTCCTTTGCGAAGAACGCACCAGAAATTTGTCATTGCCACCTCAACCAAAACTGGTATCAGCAATGTAAAAATCCCGAAACATCTTACTGATGCTTACTTCAAGAAGCAGCAGCTGCGGAAGCCCAGACACCAGAAAGATGAGATCTTTGATGCAGAAAAAGAGAAATATGAGATTACAGAGGAGCACAAGATTGATCAGAAAGCTGTGGACTCACAAATTTTACCAAAAATCAAAGCTATTCCTCAGCTCCAGGGCTACCTGTGATCTGCGTTTGCCCTGACAAATGGAATTTATCCTCACAAATTGGTATTTTAAATGTCCTAATAATCTAATTAAATAACTGATTATCCACTTTGGGAGGCCAAGGCGGGTGGATCACGAGGTCAAGAGATCGAGACCATCCTGGTCAACATGGTGAAACCCCGTCTCTACTAAAAATACAAAAAAAAATTAGCTGGGCATGGCGGCACGTGCCTGTAATCCCAGCTACTCAGGAGGCTGAGGCAGGAGAATTGCCTGAACCCAGGAGGCGGAGGTTGCGGTGAGCCAAGATGGCGCCATTGCACTCCAGCCTGGGTAACATGAGTGAAACTCCGTCTCAAAAAAAAAAAAAAAAGAATTTCTGTGACTGAAAAACACAACAAAACATCAATTCAGATTCACCGAGTGCCGTGGCTCACGCCTGTAATCCAGCACTTTGGGAGGTCGCAGCAGGTGAATCACCTGAGCTCAGGAGTCTGAGGCCAGCCTGGCCAACATGGTGAAACCCCATCTGTATTAAAAATACAAAAAGTTAGCCACACATGGTGGTGGGCACCTGTAATCCAAGTTACTCTGGAGGCTGAGGCAAGAGAATTGCTTGAACTCAGGAGGCGGAGGTTGCGGTGAGCCGAGATCATGCCACTGCACTCCAGACCGGGTGACAAGAGTGAAATTCCATCTCAAAAAAATGGTAATAATAGGCAAGGGTGGGGGCACATGTTCTCAGGATCTCCTGAGGGCTGTGTCACGCACGGGTCATGGTCACTAAAAAATTAAATTATTTTAAAAAAATAGGCAACGGACTTGAGTAGACATTTCTCTAAAGAGGATATACATATTGGTTGAAATATACATGAAAAGCTACTCAATAATAAAGTCATTAGGGAAATGCAAATCAAAACCACAATGACATGCCCCTTCATGCCCATTTGGATGGCTGATATTAAAAACAAACATATTTTAAAAAGGAAATGAAAAATAACAAGGGTTGGCAAGGATGTGGAGAAATGGGAACCACATTGTGCGTTGCTGGTAGGAATATAATATGGTGCAGCTGCTGTGGAAAAGAGTTTAGCAGTTCCTCAAAAAGATAAACACTGAATTACTAAGCAATTCAGTAATTCCCCTCCTAGATACAGACTCAGAAGATCTGAAAGCAGGGACTCAGATACTTGCACGCCAATGTCCACAGCAGCATTATCTGTAATAGCTAAAAGTTGGAAACAAGCCAAATGTGTGTCAACAGATGAATGGATAATCAAAATGCAGGAATCACATACAATGGACTTTTATTCAGCCTTAAGAAGGCATGCAATTGGCCAGGTGGCTCATAGCTGTAATTCCAACACTTTGGGAGACAGAGGCAGGTGGATTGCTTGAAGCCAGGAGTGGTTTGAGACCAGCCTGGCCAACATGGTGAAACTCCGTCTCTACTAAAAATACAAAAATCAGCCAGGTGGCGCATGCCTGTAGCACCAATTATTTGGGAGGCTGAGATGGGAGAATTGCTTGAACCCATTAGGTAGAGGTTGCCATGAGCCAAGATCGTTCCACTGCACTCCAGCCTGGGCCACAGAGTGAGGCTCTGCCTCAAAAAAATAAAAATAATGCTGGGTGCGGTGGCTCACACCTGTAATCCCAGCACTTTGGGAGGCTGAGGCGGCTAGATCACCTGAGATCAGGAGTTTGAGACCAGCCTGACCAACATGGGGAAACTCCATCCCTATTGAATGCAAAAAATTAGCCAGGTGTGGTGGCCCATGCCTGTAATCCCAGCTACTTGGGAGGCTGACACAGAAGAATTGCTTGAACCCGGGAGGCAGAGGTTGCAGTGAGCCAAGATTGCACCATTGTACTCCAGCCTGGGCAACAAGAGCAGACTCCATCTCAATATACATATATACTGTATATTATATGTATTTATACATTTACATTCTGGGAATACATATATACTGTATAGAGCAATACTGTATATTAACGTATTAATATATATTATTGGACATATTGATACATTATACATGTACAACATAATATACATTATATATTAATATATTAATGTACTAATATATACTGTATATTAATGTATATTTATAAATATACATATACATTCTGGGAATACATATATACAGTATATATTTATTTATATAATTATACATAAATGTATACATGGATATATACTTACATATACATATATAATACAGTATATATTCCCAGAATGTATTAAATACATATATATGTATTTATACATATAATATACAGTATATATGTATATGTACTTTTTTGTACACTATATATATATCCAGGATATGTATTCCCAGTATATATACATGTATATTCATATATATTAATATGTATATATCCTTAAATATATATTCCTAGCTCTGTTGACTGAAAGAGCCTAGAAACAATGACCAACCCAGTAACAAAGCCAAAGTGGTCTTGAAGTACCACTTCCCATTAGAAGAAACCAAAACTTCTTGAATAAATGAATGAGTCCAGGTACAGGGTAGAAACGAAGTGCCATTCACAATTGCTACAAAGACAATAAAATACCTAGGAATACAACTAACAAAGGATGTAAAGGACCTCTTCAAGGAGAACTACAAACCACTGCTCAAGGAAATAAGAGGACACAAACAGATGGAAAAACATTCCATGCTCATGGTTGGGAAGAATCAACATCATGAAAATGGCCATACTGCCCCAAGTAATGTATAGATTCAATGCTATCACCATCAAGCTACCTATGACCCTCTTCACAGAACTGGAAAAAACCACCATAAACTCATATGGAACCAAAAGAGAGCCCAAACAGCCAAGACAATCCTAAGCAAAAAGAACAAAGCCGCAGTCCTCCCTGCTGTAAATGTGGTGACTTCGGAAGCTCCAGCTCAGTGGGCAGGCCAGTTGGAGATTCTCTGGGAACCCCTGGCACCTGGCTGTCTCATTCCACCCTCTAATGAAGTGCATCTAACTGCCGTTAGAAAAAGGGTCAAGTTGTTACCATGGGACCCAAGGACCTCAACTTTTATCACCTTAATAGACTATCGGGTGTGGCCAGAAACCAGTGCTGGTGAACTCAGCTGCATAACTGGGGATGACATGGAAAGGGAGAATCAGCTGAGAGATTTCCAGCCATGATGGAAACAAGCACAGGTAACAGAAGTAAAAATGGACAAATGAAATTACTTCAAACTGAAACATTTCTGCATACAAAGGAAACAATCAACAGAATAAAAAGAGACCTACAAAGTGGGAGAAAATATTCACAAGCCTCCGTAGATCTGATGAGGAACTCCTACATCTCAAAATAAAGAAAGAAAAAAACAAGCAACCTAATCCAAACATGGATTTCATAAAAATGGCGAACAGGTGTATGAAAAAATGTTCAACATCACTCATAACCAAGAAAATGCAAACAAAACCATAATGAGATCTCACCTTGCATCACTTAGTAAGACTGTTGTCAAAAAACAAAAGATAAAAAGTGTGAAGAAAAGGGAAACTTTGCACACCACCATTGTTGGGAATATAAAATAATGCATACTCTAAGAAAAACAGTAGGAAATTCCTCAAAAAATTAAAAATAGAAAACTGTATGATCTTATGGTACCACTGCTGGGTGTATATCCACAAAAATTTAAATAAGTATTTAAAAAGACATCTGCACTCCCCTGTCACTGCAGCACTGTTCACAGTAGCCAATTTAGTGACACAACCTAATGCTCACTGACAGGTGGATTAATAGGTATGATGTCGTACCTACACACAATTATAGGATTAATCAGCCTTTAAAAAGGAGGAAATTCTGCCACTTGCAATGACATGGATGAGCCTTGAGAACATTATTCTTAGTAAAATAAGCCAGTCACAGAAGAATAAATACTGCATGATCCCATTTATAAGGCAACAAAAAATTGTTGCTGAAACTCTATTCTGTCAATATTTAATATACATTAATGGATACACTGGGAGCAAAGGTAGCCATCTAATTAAAGGACATACTTTAACTAACATTACACTTTTTGTTAAATAATAATTTATTGACATTTTATAACATATTTATTATTATTATTTTTTTTTTTTTTTGAGACGGAGTTTCGCTCTTGTTACCCAGGCTGTAATGCAATGGCGCGATCTCGGCTCACCGCAACCTCCGTCTCCTGGGTTCAGGCAATTCTCCTGCCTCAGCCTCCTGAGTAGCTGGGATTACAGGCACGTGCCACCATGCCCAGCTAATTTTTTATAGTTTTAGTAGAGACGGGGTTTCACCCTGTCGACCAGGATGGTCTTGATCTCTTGACCTCGTGATCCACCCGCCTCGGCCTCCCAAAGTGCTGGGATTACAGGCGTGAGCCACCGCGCCCGGCCTCATATTTATTATTTTTATTGATTGTATACTAGTAACAATTTTAAGATAACTCAATGTAGACATTGGCTTAGGCAAGAATTCCAACCAAGAACCCAAAAGCAAATATAAATAGAAAGATAAATGACTGGGACCTAATTAAACTAAAGAGCTTTTGCACAGCAAAAGGAAGAGCCAGCAGAGTTAAACGGACAACCCACAGAATGAGAGAAAATCTTCACAATCTATACATCTGACAAAGATTTAATATCCAGAATGGACAACAAACTCAAACAAATCAGTAAGAAAGAAACAATCCCATCAGAAACTGGGCCAAGAACATGAATAAACAATTCTCAGAAGAAGGTACACTAATGGCCAACAAACATGAAAAAACGCTCAACATCACTAATAATCAAAAAAATGCAAATCAAAATGTGATCACATCTTACTCCTGTGGCCATAATCAAAAAATCAAGCAACAGTAGATGATGGCGTAGATGTGTGAACATGGAACACTTCTACACTGCTGGTGGGAACGTAAACTAGTACAGCCACTATGGAAAACCATGTAGAGATTCCTTAAAGAAACTAAAACTACCGTTTGATCCAGCAATCCCACTACTGCGTATCTACTCAGAGGAAAAGAAGACATTATATGAAAAAGATACTTGCACACACATTGTATAGCAGCACAATTCACAATTGCCAAATCATGGAACCATCCAACCCAAATGCCTATCAATCAACTAATGGATAAAGAAACTGTCATATATCAAAATGGGATACTATATAGCCATAAAAAGGAATGAATTTATGGCATTTGCAGTGATCTGGATGAGATAGGAGACTATTATTCTAAGTGAAGTAACTCAGGTATGGAAAATCAAGTATTATATGTTCTCACTGACACGTGGGAGCTAAGCTTTGAGAAAACAAAAACATAAGAATGAAACAATGGACTTTGGGGACTTGGGGAAAAGACTGGGAGGGTGGCAAGGGACAAAATACTGCAAATATGGTGTATACTGCTTGGGTGATGGGTGCACCAAAATCTCACAAATCACCACTAAAGAACTTACTCATGTAACCAAATACCACCTGTACCCCAAAAACTTATGGAAAAATAAAATAAAAACAAACAAACAAAAAAAAGAAAAAAGCCGGAAGCATCACGCTACCTGACTTCAAACTATTTTACAAGGCTACAGTAATCAAAACAGCATGGTACTGGTACCAAACCAGAGATATAGACCAATAGAACAGAGGCAATGCCACACATCTACAACCATCTGATCTTTGACAAACCTGACATATTTCTTCTGAGTCCTCCTCACCAGTGTTAACAGAAAAACCAAATTCTGTAAAATATCTTACAAAGGTTTATTCTGAGCCAATGTAAGTGGCCACAGCCTGGACAGAGTCTCAAGGAGTCCTAAGCAAGCATGCTCTAGGCAGGTGGATTACGGTTTGGTTTTATATGTTTCAGGGAGGCAGGAATTACAGGCAAAGACATAATTCAATACATAGAAGGTGTATATACATTTGTTTGGTCCAAAGAAGTGGGCTATCTTTTTTTTCTTTTGAGACAAGCCTTGCTCTGTCAGTTAGAGTGCAATGGGGCGAACACAGCTCACTGCAACCTTCACCTCCTGGGTTCAAGCGATTCTCCTGCCTCAGCCTCCTGAGTAGCTGGGACTACAGGCATGCACCACCATGCCCGGCTAGTTTTTGTATTTTTAGTAGAGACAAGGTTTCACCATGTTGGCCAAAATGGTCTCAATCTCTTGACATTGTGATCCACCTGCCTCGGCCTCCCAAAGTACTGGGATTATAGGCATTAGTCACCACGCCCAGCATTTTTTTTTTGAGACAGAGTCTTGCTTTGTTGCCCAGGCTGGAGTACAATGGTGCCATCTCAGCTCACTACAACCTCTGCCTCCTGGGTTCACATGATTCTCCTGTCTTCCTGAGTAGCTGGGATTACAGGTGCCCCCCACCACATCTAGATAACTCTTGTACTTTTTTGTTTTAGTAGAGACGAGGTTTCACCATGCTGGCCAGGCTGGTCTCGAACTCCCAACCGCAGGTGATCCGCCCACTTCAGCCTCCCAAAGTGCTGGGATTACAGGCATGAGCCACCGTACCCAGCTGTTTTGTTGTCATTGTTGTTTGAGAGAGTTTCACTCTTGCTGCCCAGGCTGGAGTGCAATGGTGCGATCTTAGCTCACTGCAACCTCCGCCTCCCTGGTTCAGGCAATTCTCCTGCCTCAGCCTCCTGAGTAGCAGGGATTACAGGCATGCACCACAATGCCCAGTTAATTTTGTATTTTTAGTAAACATGGGGTTTCTCCATGTTGGTTAGGCTGGTCTGGAACTCCTGACCTCTGGTGATCCACCCACCTTGGCCTCCCAAAGTCCTGGGATTACAGACGTGAGCCACCACACTCAACCCTTTTTGTTTTTTTCTTGAGACACGGTCTTGCTCTGGCACTCAGGCTGGAGGGCAGTGGCATGATTTATCTCGGCTCACTGCAACCTTCCCCAGGGCTCAAGCAATTCTCCCATGTCAGCGTTCTGAGTAGCTGGTACTACAGGTACGTTCCACCACACTGGAATAAATTTTTTGGTTTGTTGTTTTTTGTTTTTGAGACAGAATTTCGCCCTGTCGCCCAGGATGAAGTCCAATGGGTGATCTCGACTCACTCCAACCTCCACCTCCCTGGTTCAAACGATTCTCCCACCTCAGCCTCCCCAGTACCTGGGATCACAGGCACCCGGCATTGTGCCCAGCAAATTTTTTTTTATTTTTGGAGAGACGTGTTTTCACCATGCTGGCCAATCTCATCTCGAGCTCCTGACCTCAGGGTCTCCCAAAAGTACTGGGTTACAACTGTGAGCCACCACACCTGGCCTATAATTTAGTATCTTATGGCCACAAAAAGTCTGTTTTGCCAGTCTATGATGTCCATTTTAACATGAATCCTGGTCAGCTGTGCCTAAACTTCAACAAGGAGTTGGTATAATGAAGCGTGTTACAGTTCCCTTACCATGATGGCTGGGAACTCAGTTTTTCAGGTTACTCTCTGGGGTATCATTGGCTAAAAGGGGGTCTGTTTGGTTGGTGGGAGACAGGATTTTATTTTTAGTCCGCACCAGAATTGCCCTTAATGCTCCATTCATAGCAATCTAGGTCTTTTCCAGAATTCGCTTTATTTTTTATTTTATTTTTTTATTATTCATTTATTTTTGAGATGGAGTCTTGCTCTGTCACCCAGGCTGGAGTGCAGTGGCATGATCTAGGCTCACCACAACCTCTGCCTCCCAGGTTCAAGTGATTCTCCTGCCACGGCCTCCTGAGTAGCTGGGGCTACAGGTGCCCACCACCATGTCCAGCTAATTTTGTACTTTTAGTAGAGACAAGGTCTCATCATGTTGGCCAGGATGATCTCAATCTCTTGAGCTCATGATCCACCTGCCTCAGCGTTCCAAAGTGCTGGGATTACAGGCATGAGCCATCACCCCCGGCTGGTTTTTTTTTTTTTTTTTTTTTTTAATTTTTAGTTTTTGTGGGTAGACAGTAGGTATATATATTTATGGGATACTTTGATATACGCATGCAATGCATAACAGTCACATTAAGGTAAAGGGGGTAACCATCCCTCAAGCATTTATTCTTTGTGTTACAAAATTCAATTAAAGTTATTTTTAAATAGGGACTGGGCACAGTAGCTCACACCTGTAATCTTAGCACTTTGGGAGGCCAAGGCAAGCTTACTGCTTGAGTTCAGGAGTTTGAGACCAGCCTGGGCAATGAGGTGAAGCCCCCATCTCTACAAAATTAACCCGGTGTGGTGGCGCATACCTATGGTCCCAGCTACTTGGTAGGTTGAAGTGGGAGGTCTGCTTGAGCCCAGGAAGTCAAGGCTGCCATGAGCTGAGATTGCACCACTGCACTCCAACCTGGATGACAGAATGAGACCTTGTATCAAAAAAAAGTAGTACAATAAATCATTGCTTACTGTAGTTACCCTGTTGTGCTATCAAATACTCGATCTTCTTCCTTCTATGTTATATCCATTAGCCATCCCTACCCACCCCCTCTACCCTTCGTAGCCTCTGGTGACCATTCTTCTACTCTCTACCTCCATGAATTCAGTTAAGTTTTTGGGTTTTTTTTTGAGACAGAGTCTCACTCTGTTACCTAGGCTAGAGTGCAGTGGCACAATCTCGGCTCACTGCAAACCTCCACCTCCCAGGTTCAAACAATTCTCCTGCCTCAGCCTCCTGAGTAACTGGGACAGGTGCACACCACCATGCCTGGCTAATTTTTTTGTATTTTTAGTAGAGATGGGGTTTTACCATGTTGACGACGCTGGTCTCGAACTCCTGACCTTGTGATCTGCCCACAACTGCCTTCTCAAAGTACTGGGATTACAGGAGTGAGCCACCGCACCTAGTTTCAATCTGGTACTTTCAATGTTGCCTGTTAACAGATTTCTGCTGAAGCTCAGATGATACCGCTAAGATGCACGGAATTGCAATCCATTGCCTGCGGAGTGGGGAGGACGGCTGAAAGACAAGTAAACCAATTAGCACTGAAAACATGTAATCTTATAAGAAAAGGAGTACCGATTTAGAAAATCTAATGTCTATGACCATTTTCTTCCCTACAACAGCAAAGAGAATGAATGTGGGGAATCCGATTTTCAGCAATATTTGCAGGACCTAAGGCAACCAACCAAATGCCTAGAGCAACTACACTTTCCAAAGCCTGAATATTAAAAAGGTCTTCACATGGTAATCATCTTAATATTTTATTTATTTATTTATTTATTTATAGAGACGGGGTTTCACCATATTGGTCAGACTGGTCTCGAACTCCTGACCTCAGGTGATCCACCTGCCTCGGCCTCCCAAAGTGCTGGGATTACAGGTGTGAGCCACCGCGCCCTGCCATCTTAATATTTTAAATTCAAAAACAGACGCAACCTTACAACAGCCAGTAAATGTTAATAATTAATCAACCTCCAGTTCTTACGTATTCTGTCTGTGAAAAGAGCTACATGGTTGTGTCCTTTTTAAAGGAGTAAACAATTTGCCTGTTGTCCAAATGAGAATCACCTGGTCTCAACATAAAGCACCTGCCCTGGGCTGCTGTCTCAGGGCAGGAAAGCGAGGTGGCCGGAAAGGTGGCCAACACTGTTTCTGCTGCCACTGTCACTAAGCCGGGGGCACCTGTTTTCAACTGTAGTGATCTGGTTCCTAAAATTTAGCCTAAATAGAGAGCCAGTAAAGAAAGCCCCGTCAGCAGAGAAAAGGGCCTCTAGAGCTGTTGAATGACTGGCCAGGCTGTTTCTCTCCTTATCTCTGTTGTTCTCGAGGAAATTCCTCTAAAGTGAGCCAAGGTCAGTGGCTCATTCTTCACTTAGAGCAACTCTCTGGGGCTCTAACCAGATTCCCAACATCACTCTGAGCCCCTGCTTAGTAAGTTCCCAGGAAAGCAGATGAAACTAATTAGGACATGGCCCATCAAAGACGACACAAGCATTTCCCCCGCTGTGTGCAGAGACCTCCCCATAATCAGGTCAAAGGCCTTGGAGGAAATCTTTCTAGCATAGAGGAGTACGCGGTCACTGTCCCCACCTTCAGCTCTCTGCCTTGACAGCCTCAGCCTGTCTTCACCAGGTTTCTTATCCCCAAGGCACAAATATTTCTTTTCAGCTTATTTTTGTGATGTATCCAATTAATCATGAAAGCCAGGCCTGCTGGGATAGAGGGTAAAATCAAATAAACAATGCTCTGAACGTCCAGGAAACAGCTGCCGGGCCTTTTAACTTCATGAAACGCTGAGGCCAGCTGTGCTCCTCTATGCTGGGTCCTCTTCATCCATTGCCCCGTCGCTGTTAGTATTCTTCTTCTGCTCAGCCTCTGGCCCCGCAGGCAGAATGCTGGTGACAGTGTGGAGAAGAGCTTCAATCTGCTCCTCCGTGAGCCGCTCTTCACTCTCTTCCACCATCTGCAGAAGGAAAGAAAACCTTCCAGGGTTACAAATGAAACTCACAGCCCTGGGTAGCCCTGCCCAATCTAAAACCGAAAGTCCCCCGCGCTCCACACTACAATGACCATCAAAGGTTCACATAAAACCTGGTTTCTGATGTGGTCCCAGAAATCTGAATCCAGAGATGATACCTACAGCCTGAGCCAGTTTCCTTAGCTTCACCCCTAATTCTAAACTTAATGTCATAAGCTGCCTTTTGAAAAGCACCATGTGGCTGGTCACAGTGGCTCACGCCTGTAATCCCAGCACTTTGGGAGGCCGAGACAGGCGGATTGTGAGGTCAGGAGTTTGAGATCAGCCTGACCAACATTTTGAAACCCTGTCTCTACTAAAAATACAAAAATTAGTTGGGCGTGATGGTGCGCACCTGTAATCCCAGCTACTCAGGGGACTGAGGCTGGAGAATCACTTGAAACTGGGAGGTGGAGGCTGTGGTGAGCCGAGATCACACCACAGTCCAGCCTGGCAAAAGGGCTAGACTCCATCTCAAAAAAAAAAAAAGAAACAGCATGCAGGGAGTCAAGTTACTTAATCCTGTTTGCTTGGTGGCATCAACGATCGTTCACAAACATCTTTCTCAGTTTAAGGTGTCCAGGTTCTATTTGATGGGATTCCACACAGCAATCTCTAAAATCTGGCAACTGGGACCACCAGGAGTTCCAGAAGAAATCCTGGCATGGCCAGGCGCAGTGGCTCACGCCTGTAATCCCAGCACTTTGGAAGGCCAAAGCAGGCGGATCATGAGGTCAGGAGTCTGAGACCAGCCTGGCCAAGATGGTGAAACTCAGTCTCTACTAAAAATTAGCCAGGCGTGGTGGCGGCAAGAGAATCACTTGAACCCGGGAGGTGGAAGTTGTAGTAAGCCAAGATTGCGCCATTGCACTCCAGCCTGGGTAACAGAGCAAGACTTCATCTAAAAAAGAAAAAGAAAAAGAAATCCTGGCAGATTGAAGTAAAACAAGATAACAGGACAGGCCTGAAATCCTGGAAAGGATCCCAGTCTGACCACCTCACTTTACAGATGACAGCACAGTTCATGAAGTCATGTGACATGCCCAAGGTCACAGCACGTACTCTACTCCTGGCAAAAGCCTGGACTCTCCACTCACTTCAGCCCAAAAGTGTTTCTGCAACTAGATAATAATCCTGGGTGTCCCAGGATGGGGGAGATTCTGAGTGAATCAATGGGGGCTACTCCCTATGATGCTGTGAAATAAAGTAAGTATTTTCTAAAGATTCAGTGGCTCTGGAAAATGTAAATTCTGAGAAAGAAATAATCTTCAAAAACCCATTTTAATACCAGACATGCAAAATTATGGTCTATAAAAAGCAGTAATCTAGCATGATTTGCCCCAAAAGAATGAAGCAGAAAAGGAAGGTAACAGCAGAGATTTGATTATTTAATCCAGAGAAAAGATGATCTCCGTTTGAGAAAAGAATGTGGAGAAAGAATTTTGCCAAATTCACTAATGGCAGAAGCTTTTATAAACATCCAATCCTCAGAGTTAATTACATTCAGGACCTTTTTTTTTCCACCTAAGGTTCCCAGTCACAGGAAGAAAACCTAAATGAAAACTGCTGCATTAAACTAAATGAAATATAAACAAATAAGAAACTGGCTGGGCATGGTGGCTCACACCTGTAATCCAAAAATACAAAATTAGCTGGGCATGGTGTTGCACACCTGAATTCCCAGCTACTCAGGAGGCTGAGCTGACCCGAGATCACCCCATTGCACTCCAGCCTGGGCAACAAGAGCAAAACTCTCTCTCTCAAAAAACAAAGAAAGAAAGAAAAACTTTCAGAAATAAAAAACTTACTAGCACCTCTTGGATCACTAGTGTAAATGACAATGAATACATTATCCCTCACTCTACCCCTTTTTCCCCAAAAAGAGTGGGCCTCACTGTCACCCAGGCTGCAGCATACTGGCATGATCATCATTCACTGCAGCCTCAAACTCCTGGGCTCAAGAAATCCTCCTGCCTCAGCCTCCCAAGTAGCTGGGATCATAGCCATGTGCCACCATGTCTGGCTATTGTATGTATGTATGTATGTATGTATGTATGTATGTATGTAGAGATGGGGCTGCCCCATTTCTACAAAAAATATGTTGCCCAGCCTGGTCTTGAACTCCAGGACTCAAGTGATCCTCCCACCTCAGCCTCCCAAAGTGCTGGGATTACAAGTGTGAGCCATCACGCCCGGCCCCTTCACCTTTTCTTTCCAAAAAAGGAGAAAAAGCCCAAGTAAAGAAGGCAAGTTCAAAGCATGATCTCAAGGTTGTCAGATATCAACCATTTCAGGTATTCAGAACATAAGCGCAAGTAAAATTTTAAAATCCAGATTATTGACAGCTAGGTTAACATAATGACAAACTTTTATTATCTCAATCCCAGGAGCATCAAACTGGGCTGCCGAACTCCAAAAATGCCAACTCTAAGTTGCCAAACCTAATGTCCTACTTTCCACAAAATGATTCAAACATCTGATAGCAACAATGTCCACTTTCAGCTATTAAATATTTGATCCAGAGTTCACTGAACCTGGCTTTCTAAATTTCAACTTTCTCTAATGTAGAATGAAAGTAATGCCTACAGCGAGGACAATATGAGAATACATGTAACAGTGGTTTACAAGCAATAGTGTTCTATATAAGTCAAGACTTCATAATCACGAAATTACTAACAGGCCTAGATGGTAGTGTTGCTCAGGACAGTGGCCGTGAGGGCTCCCAAATCACTCCAAATCAATACACAACTGGGCACGGCAAGTCATAAGCCAGGTAGACACCTCATTTCCTCATCAAGTCTCTGAGTCAGCAGTCAAAGGGCCACAGCAAATCGCAGCTCAGGCGTAACTGGAGGCATGAGGCTTCAGCCTCTGAAAGACGCCTGGTTCCCAAGTGAATGCAGTAAACGTCAGGTGCTGGGGCTGTTTTCTGCCCCCAGGGAGAATAAACGGCTCTAGGGTTAATATAAGGAACTTGTCACTCAAGTGCTTTGTACTTTCCACTGTAAGTGAAACCTGTATTTTTTTGTTTTTCTTTTTTTTTAAAGACAGGGTCTTGCTCTGTCACCCAAACTGGAGTACAGTGACACTACCATAGCTCACTGCAGCCTTGAACATCTGGGCTCAAGCAATCCTCCCACCTTGGCCTCCCAAAGTGCTGGGATTACAGGTGTTAGCCACCGTGTCCAGTCAAAACTTTCATTCCTTATTCACTCTCTGGTGAGACGAGATACTGCTACAAGCCTTGGTAAACAACTTGCTACCTTTTGGAGCCAAATTCCAAGATGAGAAGAATCTGGCTATAACACGGTCCAACTACTGAGAAACACAGCAGTTTCTACCAGGCCTACCCACTTTGTAGAAAGGAGAAGGAAACCATCTCAAGGGATATCACACACATCTTTCTTCTCATCAAGGACAAGTACACAGCTTGGAGGAGCCAAGTAAAGCCTCTGAATCAGAAGGACCCAATCAGCCACTCACGGGTCTTCTGGGTTAAAATGGAGAGGACACTTGCTCCCTTCCAAGACTGTGGGGAGGGCATTCAAAGTGACAGACAATCACAGGCACCAGGACCAAGGACTGAGACCATGTCTGGCACACCCCAGGCACTCTCTCTCTCTGTTTTTGAGACGGAGTCTTGCTCTGTCGCCCAGGCTGGAGTGCAGTGGCGTGATCTGAGCTCACTGCAACCTCTGCCTCCCAGATTCAAGCAATTCTCCTGCCTCAGCCTCCTGAGTAGCCAGGAATACAGGCACGCACCATGCCCGGCTAATTTTTGAATTTTTCATCAAGATTAGGTTTCACCATGTTAGTCAGGCTGGTATCAAACTCCTGACCTCATGATCCACCAGCCTCAGTCTCCCAAAGTGCTGGGATTATAGGCATGAGCCACTGCGTTCGGCCCTCTTTTTTTTTTTTTTTTTTTTGATAGGAGTCTCACTGTATCACCCGTGCTGGAGTGCAGTGGTGTGATCTCGGCTCACTGCAACCTGTGCCCCCTGGATTCAAGCAATTCTCCTGCCTCAGCCTCCCAAGTAGTTGGGAATACAGGCGTGTGACACCATGCCCAGCTAATTTTTGTATTTTTAGTAGGGATTGGGTTTTACCATGTTGGCTAGGCTGGTCTTGAATGCTTGACCTCAGATGATCCACCCACCTTGGCCTCCCAAAGTAACGGGATTACAGGTGTAAGCCTCCATGCCTGGCCTACCCCAGGCACTCTCAATAGCAGCAAATCTTCCCCCAAGTAATGATAGCACAGTACACAGGCTCTGGCTGAGGTCACACTAACCCTCATCTCTTCTCTCTGCCTGTCATTAAGCCATGAGTAGCACATGTTGCTGATTAAGGCTGGAGGAGACATGACATGTGATCTCTAACCCAGAGGGAAAGGGATTTGTTTCTTGCTGTTTTGTTTTTTCTCTCGTCCAAGCTCTAAGTTGAATATGCAACACAGCGTAAAGCATGCAAATAATCAGGACACATGAGAAAGGGGATTCTATTTAGCCTACAGAACGGTTCCCAGAGAAAGGCACCCAAGAACTGTTCTAATTTCTGGGTGCATTCTGAAGGTCAGAAACAACCCTAGGAAGACAATGAACATTAGGCTCTCTGCTCTGTAATAAGGCTGCGGCCACAGCGTGCCCAGTGGCGGCCAGGGTTTAGCCCCGGATCATCTCCCAGCCCATTTCCCCATCGCAGGACTTCCACTCTGGCTGCCCCTCCAGTTCTGAAGCCTCCACTCTCAGTGCAAAGTGGACTTTACAAGTGATGAGGCTGTATACTAGCTGGTTTTATGCAGGGTAACGAGATCACACTCATGGTTCTGGATGTGGGAGATGGGCTTGGGGGGCCAGGGAGAATGGGGAGAGGACAATCGAAGAGGTGCATGGAGAAATGATGGCAATACAGGAGGGAGAAGAAATAACAGAAGACAGAAGCAACAGAACTTGGGGACTATGTGACTATGAGATGAAAGGGAGAGAATTACTTGCAGGTGCCCAGCGTGGGAGACCAGGCCAGGACGTGAGTGTGGAAGGGAGCCGGTGGGACAGCACACACATTCTCCCCTCACCCAGGAGAGGAAGCAAGAGTGGGGTGACGGGTGGGCGTGGGGGCAGAGAACGTTCGCCAGAGACATGCTGAGTTTCATGTTTTTATGCAACATCTGGTTGGCAACAACCCCTACAGGGAAGCAATGGCCAGCATGGCCCGGACATCAGGGGAAACAGAGACCTGCCAAGTCATCAGGCCAAGCCTTGGGGAAGAATGAAATCTCCTCCAGTGTTTTGCAGTCCCTAAGTCCACACTAACTAGGATCAAACTGGCGAGGTCTCCCTTTTCTTAAAATACGGGGTGGCTGGGCAGCCTCTTCAAAATAACAGCAGTTCCTGGCCTGTCCACCGCAGCCTTTCCACATCTCAGACCCACAGCAGTCTCCCCAGCGCAGGCGCCCTTCACTCACCAGCTGGATCTCTACGGCAGTCACAGGCCTGTGGTTCAGCAGCTGGAGCTTCTCAGCTCTGTGGAGGGAAAGTACAGCACTGAGAACTTGCATAGCCCTAAGTCTTGAGTCCTGACAGAGCTGCACAGAGAATACTTTGTCAGATAAAAAATGGAAGAACCCCTACAGTGTGGCCTCAGTTCCTTCAACTGCAAACTGAGAGAACAGGAATAGAAGCATGTTTGTGAGTGACTCCCAGCCCAGAGTATGAATGGGTATTGGAGGCATGATTGTAGGAAACAAAGCAACAGTGCAGGTGCCATTTATTTATTTATTTTGAGGAGGAGTTTCACTCTTGTTGCCCAGGCTGGAGTGCAGTGGCATGAGCTAAGCTCACTGCAACCTCCACCTCCCAGATTCAAGCAATTATCCTGCCTCAGCCTCCCAAATAGCTGGGATTACAGGCACCTGCCACCATGCCTGGCTAGTGTTTTGTGTTTTCAGTAGAGATGGGGTTTTACCATGTTGGCCAGGTTGGTCTCAAACTCCTGACCTCAGGTGATCTGCCCACCTCTGTCTCCCAAAGTGCTGGGATTACAGGCACAGGTGGCATTTCAAAAACAAGATGGGGCCGGATGCAGTGGCTCATGCCTGTAATCCCAGCACTTTGAGAGGCGGGGAGGGGTGGATCACCTGAGGTCACGAGTTCAAGACCAGGCTGGCCAACATGGTGAAACCTCGTCTCTAGGAAAATACAAAAAGTAGCCAAGCATGGTGGCATGCACCTGTAATCCCAACTACTCCAGAGGCTGAAGCAGGAGAACCTCTTGAACCCGGAAGGCGGAGCTTGTGGTGAGCCGAGATCGCACCACTGCACTCCAGCCTGGGCAACAGAGTGAGATTCCATCTCAAAAAAACAAAACAAAATAACCCCCCCAAAACAGGTTAGTAATTTCTATCTGGAAAATGTGAAGAAAATAATGCTTTCTTCAAGTCTATAATCCCAGCACTTTGGGAGGCCAAGGAGGGCAGATCACGAGGTCAGGAGTTTGAGACTAGCCTGACCAACATGGTGAAACCCAGTCTTTACTAAAAGTACAAAAATTAGCCGGTCATGGTGACATGCGCCTGTAGTCCCAGGTACTCAGGAGGCTGGGGCAGGAGAATTGCTTGAACCCAGGAAGTGGAGGATGGAGTGACATGACATCACACCACTGCACTCCAGCCTGGGCGACAGAGTGAGACTCCATCTCAAAAACAAACACCTTACAAAATAATTAAAATAAATTCACTGGGCATGGTGGGGTGCACCTATAGTCCCGGCTATGGAAGGCAAGTACAAGAGTTTGGGGCAGGAGGATCACTTTAGCCTACGAGTTGGTGGCTGCAGTGAGCTATGATTGAGCCACCGCACTCCAGCCTTGGTGAGAGAGCAAAACCCTATCTCTAAAACTAAAAAATTAAAACACACGAAATCATCTTTCCTGTTTGGCCATCTCTTAGAAATAGGTGAATCCCTTTTTGAGATTAAGATCTAATGTTTCCCAGATTTGACCTATTAACTTAATAAACAAAACAGGGACTAAAAGAGTCAGGAGTTAATACACAGAAATACAAAGTACAGTCCCTCTGCCCTCAAAGCACTTAACAACCAAGCTGGAGAAAGAAGACAAATACATGCAAATTTTCATGACAAAAGATCTGAGTGACAGTTATATATAGTGATCCTCTGCCTCAAAGAAATACATAGCTCACTGCTGAAAGGGTGGCTGAAACATGTGGACCCTGAAAGACTGCAGAACTTCAGAGATGAAAGGACTGCAGTGGCCGTCCCTGTGCCGGTGACAGCTTCTACATTTCGCTTTCAACGTGACTCTGGAGCTGCAGATCCATCTTTCTAATTGGCTCAGTAAGTACTTATTGAGTTGAAGGCCTTCTGGAGTGAAAACATGAAGAGCCACAACTCCTGCAGCGATGTGTTCGGAGGAAAAAGTACAATTACCCACTCTCCCTAAGCCTCAGTTTTCTCATCTGTAAAATAGAAATAATAACAGTACTTACTATGAGAGGATTGAGAGAGATGAAAATCTTTCCAGAGGCTGCACCTACCATTTATTGCTTGCTTTCCATATGGTTAAGTACATTTAATCCTCAGATTTCACTGACATAGAGATAGTAAATAATTTGTCCACAGTTGCAAAGCTAGTAAATGGCGTAAAAAAGCTCCTTGCTCTTGTCCATCTGCTTCTAGTGTACATGTGATAATGGATGCCATCTGTCCCACAACAGTTTCTCCATAAATGGCAGTCATTATTAGGACCGTTCAAGTTCTACTGCTTATAATCCCCCAAACATTTACTCTAGACTCAAAAAGGGAGACTCCACAGAAATGACCCTTGCACTACACCCTGATGGCTTTTCAACTCAAAGGGATGAGAGGGACAGACAGCCAGGGCAGAAACACACAAGGACATGCCCAGAGGAATAAAGCTCCCAGAGTTTTAAGAAATAGCTAGAGAGGGGTGGGACACGTGGTGAAAGAGTCATCTGCGACAAGATCGAAAAGGCCCCTATCAAGAGGCTGGCTGACCTGGTCAATACAGGAGAGCAACCAAGGAAGAGGAGGATGCTCTGGCTGGTGTCGGCAGTGATTCTGGAAAACCCAAGAAAATGGAGGCAGACAGCGGGCGCGGTGGCTCACGCCTGTAATCCCAGCACTTTGGGAGGCTGAGGCGGGTGGATCACGAGGTCAAGAGATTGAGACCATCCTGGTCAACATGGTGAAACCCTGTCTCTACTAAAACTACAAAAAATTAGCTGGGCATGGTGGCATGTGCCTGTAGTCCCAGCTACTCAGGAGGCTGAGGCAGGAGAATTGCCTGAACCCAGGAGGTGGAGATTGCGGTGAGCCGAGATCGTGCCATTGCACTCCAGCCTGGGTAACAAGAGCGAAACTCCGTCTCAAAAAAAAAAAAAAAAAAGAAAATGGAGGCAGACAGTGACAAAAGCACTGTAACACCCTCTGGGTGAGCCAGAGTGAGGCTATGAAGTTGGCCAGCAGTGGCACGCATGCCAGTAAGCATCTAAACAGTCACCTTCAGGTAAAGTCAACAGGACCTGACAACTGCCTAGATTGGGTTGGGGGAGGAGGAGTGAAGGAACAGACAGAGTCAAGGTTAGGATGTTTAGAAAAAAAATACATTATTTAACATGAAATCTGAGCTTGTAGTACCTTTATAACTCTGAAGAGGTTTCTGTCAAAAAGTGTGTCTCGTCTGAGGTCTAATTTGGTCTAAAACTAAAGGAAAAAAAAACAGTGAAACCATGAGGGGATATTACAGTCCAGAGACCAACTGTGGAGTTAGTGAAGACCAGAACACCATAATGTGCCTCCATTTAAGGTGCCAGGAAAAGCCAGGCACAATGGCTCACCCCGTTTACCCTACTGTGATTATTGCACATTGCATGTCTGTACTGAAATATCCCATATACCCCAAATACATACACCTATCATGTACCCAGAAAAATAAAAAAAAAAAAGAATCCATTCCCTCATGCCACATGACCTGAGCTCCACACATCTGTAGACAACTGCCTGCTAGATATCTCTGCCTTGACATCTCTGACAGGCCATGAACTCAACACATCCCAGTGACCCAACCGCCTTCCCAACAAACCAGCTCTTCCCTCTGTACTTCTCTTCTTGGTGGAGTGCCAAGCACCCAGGCCAGAAATCTGAGGGTCCTCCCTGACTTCTCCCTCACCCACTGCACACATTCAGTCACCATGTATCAATGATTACATTTCTTTCAGGACATCTAGGCCAGGCACAGTGCCTCCCGTTCGTAATCCTAGCACTTTGGGAGGCCAAGGCGGGCAGATCATTTGAGGTCAGGAGTTTGAGTCCAGCCTGGCCAACATGGTGAAACCTCTTCTCCACTAAAAATACAAAAATTAGCAGGGCATGGTGGTGGGCACCCATAGTCCCAGCTACTCAGGAGGCTGAGGCAGAAGACTCTCTTGAATCCGAGAAGTGGAGGTTGCAGTGAGCAAGATTGCACCACTGCACTCCAGCCTGGACAATACAGCAAGACTCCATCTCAAAAGAAAAAAAAAAAAAAAAAAAAGACACCTGTCCCCCCGTCACCATTTTTTTTTTTTTTTGGAGACAGAGTCTTGCTGTGTCCCTGGGCTGGAGTGCAGTGGTGAGATCTTGGCTCACTGCAATCACCCCCTCCCAGGTTCAAACCATTCTCCTTCCTCAGCCTCCTGAGTAGCTGGGATTACAGGTGTGTGGCCACCACAGCCGGCTAATTTTTGTATTTTTAGTAGACATGGGGTTTCACTATGTTGGCCAGGATGGTCTCAATCCCCTGACCTTGTGATCTGCCCACCTCAGCCTCCAAAAGTGCTGGGATTACAGGTGTGAGCCACCGCACCCGGGCCCCTCCTCACCATTTCTACAAGACACTCCAGGCTCTTGGTTACAGTACAACAGCCTTCATCCTCATTGGGCTGCCATTTTTTCAATCTATCTGCACTCATACAAATAAAGTATCTTTAAAACACAGAAACACAGGCTTGGGCATGATGGCTCACGCCTGTAATCCCAGCACTCTGGGAGGCCAAGGCAGGCGGATCATGGGGTCAGGAATTTGAGACCAGCCTGGCTAAAAAATACAAAAATTAGCTGGGCATGGTGGCTCGTGCCTGTAATCACAGCTACCTGGGAGGCTGACGTAGGAGAATTGCTTAAACCGGGACATGGGAGGCGGAGGTTGCAGTGAGCCAGGATTACACCACTGCACTCCAGCCTGGGCTGTAGAGCAAGACTCCATCTCAAAAACAAAAAACAAAAAACAGAAACACGGTCATCTCATTATCCTGCTTGTAATCTTCCCACTGTCCTCACAGATTTTGGTCTGAACTTGAGTTTCCTTAGTTCAGCCCCCAGAACCCTCTGAAATCTGGTCTTTGTCAGTCTCTGTAGCTTCTTTTTTTTTTTTTTTTTTTTTTTTTTTTTTTTTGAGATGGAGTTTCGCTCTTGTTACCCAGGCCGGAGTGCAATGGCGCGATATC